ATCATTCAAAGGAAACTTTCACATAAACTTACTTATTCTGGAAGGTTCACTATCTGTTGTTCTATTGGGCCTATAAAACTTGACCAAGCTCTTGTGATTTGGGGGAAAATATTAATCTGATACCACTCTCAGTGATGAGGAGGTTGGGTTGTGGAGTGCCTTAGTCTACCCATATGACTCTCACATTAGTCGACCGATCGGTAATGTATCCTTATGGAATCTTGAAGGGTGTGTTATTTAAGGTGGATGACCTTGCTTTTTCGGCCGACTTTGTAATTTTGGACATGCATGAGACGCTTAAACACCATTGATTCTTGGAAGGTCATTCCTAGGAACAAGAAGGGCTTTGATTAATATAGAGATGAGTGAGTTATTTAGGTCAATAAAGATCAAGTGGTCTTCAATGTGTTTAAAGCCACGAAGAACCAACATGAACAACCTAAATGTTACAAGGTGACCAAAAGGAAAAAATTATCCCATCAACTTTGCGAGAGATTAATCCCCCAACAAAAAAGTTACAATGACTTCAATTGCGATGTAAGGTCCCTTCGAAAATTTTAACTTTGTAAGGTGGCTTTTGTCTTTGTGAGGAGTTTTATTCTCAGCAAGATATGAGTTTTCTTGTAGTGACTGGTTCCGGTTGGATTCGATTTTTTTTTGTGCTATATCTATTTATAAGTTGAAAGTTTGTGGATTCAATTTTTAGACTTTTGAAGATGTATTGTGACAATTCACCTATAATTTTTATGGCTAAAAATAACAAAAGTAAAAGTTGGAAAATTCATATCAATATAAGTATTTAACTTTAAGAGATTATGTTAAAGATTACCGCCCCCAAACAAATCATAAAATTATAAATTTTATTTTTAAAAATTCGGTATAGTATAAAATTATTTATAAACTAAACTAACATGTGAATTAGTTGCACTTATCGAAATTCAATCATATAAATTGTTTGCACCTACCGAAATTTATATTTTGAGACTCTAAAAATAACAAAGTGAAAGTTATAGAGATAATATCGATATTAAATAATTAACCGAAAGAAATTGCGTTAAAGATTAAACAATTTCTATTATTAATTATAGTAATACTAATGCTCATCTTACGAATGAGATTTAAATTATGATCTTTAAAGTTGTAGTAATTAATAACTAACTCTTATCATTAACATCATATATTCCATAAACTCTTAGTACATGATACTAAATATTTTCACGTGGAAAAAAAAAATATAGGTTCCTGAATTTTTCTGCATGTACACATAAATCACAGAAGCGTAAACCTAAAGTTCAGACTTAGAAATTTAGTCTCTAATAGAATTCAAACAAAATCGATACACTTCCCAAATGAAATGGTAGTAATTAAAGTAAACACAACCAATATTAGCAAGATTGCGAGTTGTCATCACCCATGAAAAGGAGTAGGAAGAAAAAACCAGAAAAAGACATAAAGATGTCACGTTAAGAAAATGACAAATTAAGGAATGGACCCTAACTTGTAATGTTACGTATAGCACGTCATGAACAGAGAGGTGGCAAAGTTCATATGAAAAAAAATCATGTAGAATCCAATGTTTGTGTTGGTGTTTGGTTTTTTCTTCTTCCCACTATGTTATTCGTAGGGACATTAAGAAGCATTTAATGGTTACTAATTACGTTCTAGTCCATATAACCCAAAGAAAGGGACATGGAGAATCAATGAATGAATGAATGATCGACATGAAAAAGTTGTATTATTAAAGGGTTGTTGTTTATATATAGCCACTATATATGTTCATTATTGCTTAATGACAAGATGATTAAACAAATCAACAACCATATGATCTAACCTAACAATGTAGGTACTATTTGTTGTTATATAGGAGTATTAGTTAATACTATTAAATCTTTAGATGACTCTATAAAAGAGTATCCTACACTTACAATCATAACCAACATGTAGATTGGTTTAAACAATATATTCAACTAATTTGGATTAATATCGAATTAACATTATTTTAGAAACCAAATTATTACACTTTAACATGTTATTGATTTTAATTCTATTAATTTTATTTCTAATTTTATGACTACAAATATTCAATCTCAAGCATTCCAAACTTTCACTCTTGTTTTAAATCATACATAAATTAATTTAAAGCTTAAATAGTTTTTTAATTTATAAAAGTCGGCGTCTTTTAGTTTTTCGTCCCTATTTATTCCTTTGAATAAGGTATTTCATTTGATTTTAATTCATAAAATTAAAATATACAAATTTCTTGCAATTTTTTTACCGATTTTAACTTTAGGCTAAAATCAAAAGAAATTTAATATTTAAAGATTATTTCTATAAAAAAAGTATAGGAACGAAAATAAAAAATACACTAATTTTCATAGAAAAAAAATTATTTAAATATTAATTTAAAGATGATCAAACAAGAAAAAACTTTAAGCATATATATTAAATATATAACTCATGAGTTAATTTAAATTATTATTATTATTATTATTATTATTATTATTATTATTATTATTATTATTATTATTATTATTATTATTATTATTATTATTATTATTATTATTATTATTATTATTATTATTATTATTATTATTATTATTATTATTATTTGTTGCTATTGGCCTATTAAATAAGACATACTCAAAAAATATTTGTTAGAATAAGAAATGTGACAATCCGAATTAAAATTTCACATAAAATGTTATCACTGCCAAATAATTACGCTAAAATAACGAAGAGAAATAATTAAAATCATATACAATTTTTCATAAGTATCCATCCATTCATAATAATTGAAAAGTTAAATATTTATATAATTTAACACGATTTTTTTTATAAGCAAAGAAAGATTCTATTGATTAAGTGCATAATGGATATTCAACCCTTACAATCAAGAAACAAACAAAAACGATTACAATAAAGATAACTTAGAGAGTTTAAAGTAAATTGTCAATCTTCTCAACTAAGAGCATAAATATCGGTCCATTATTCATGTTTCTACACCGTTTACAAAGTGTTATGTGTCAGTATTAATAAATATTTGATAAAATATTAAAATGCTATGTGTACCAACGTTGGCCGGTTTACTAACGTTCTACAAGTGTCATGCTGGACAATAATAATAAAAGTAATATTGATGATAAAATTAATATGAATGATAAAACCACTATTGACTTTTCAATCTAACAAAAAATATATTTTAAAGAATGTAACGATAATATTTTTTTTGATAGAATAATTCAACGGTAATATTTCAATTGCATGCCAATATTAAATTGTAACGGCTATAAATTAATGACTATATTATTTATATTTTAGTAAATAATGACAATATTAAAGTGAACAATATTTTAATTTATTAATATACTAACGGTAATATTTTTCATTCTTATAAATAGGTTATTAATTTTACTACAATTTTCATTTACAACTAGTCTAACTTTTGAACTATTGATTTTATCTCATCTTAAATTTTTTCTTCTACACATTTATTTGTCAATGGATCCCAATCAACATAACCTTTGGTCTAATTTTATGTAAATGGTGGCAGTCCTCCTTCTATTCCAAATCAACAAAGTAATCCATATTTTAGAAATACACCTTTTTATCTCAAATCCACACCATAATCCAAATTTTCAAAACTCACCTTTTATCCTAAATCTACAAAATAATCCACACTTTGGAAATTACTCATATCATCCACCACCTTATCCATATCAATATCAACAATTTACATCTCAATCAACTAACCCCACTATGCCTCATGGGACTTAATTAGTATGATTACGTATTCAAAATCAAATTATTAGCCGTTATTCAAACTAGTCATTATTCAAAGTCAAAGTAGTCGTTATTCAAAGTCTAACTAGTTGTTATTCAAAGTAGTCTTATAAATAGTATTAACATCTTGCATATTTTACAATTTGTTATCATCTTCTACTAAATATCAAACTTCTTTTCACATGGATCCTTCCAATCCTTCCCACATTGCAAAATTTTTTATGGATTATATGAATGATGACATGGAAGAAGAACTTGTGAGGTTGTTTATGGAAGAAGAAGCCTCGAGCTCTAGAAGGCCTAGGCGTCAAAGAAGGAATATAGAGAGGAATCGTGAAGAGGGACATGAATGATTGTTCAAAGATTATTTTTCAGAAACTCTGGTATACACAAATGAGCAGTTTCGTAGAAGGTACCGAATGCATAAACATGTGTTCCTTCGTATTGTTGAAGCTCTAGATTAACATGATGAGTATTTTCGAATAATGGTTGATGCAACAGGTAGGGCAAGCCTTTCACCATTACAAAAATGCACTGTTGTTATCCGTATGTTGGCATATGGAACATCTGCTGATAGTGTGGATGACTATTTGAGAATTGGTGAAACCACGACACTAAAAAGTGTTGATAAGTTTACACGAGGAGTGATCAACATCTTTGGTGCACAATACTTGCGAAGGCCAAATGTCGAAGACATTGAACGCTTAATGCAAATGGGAGAGGCACGAGGATTTCCAAGTATGTTAGGGAGCATTGACTGCATGCATTGGGAATGGAAAAATTGTCCTGTTGCATTGAAAGGACAATATGTTCGAGGCGATAATGGGAAACCAACTGTTATGCTTGAAGTAGTTGCTTCACAAGACTTATGGATTTGGCATGCATTCTTTGGGGTAGCGGGTTCAAACAACGATATTAATGTGTTGAACCAATCCAATGTCTTCAACGATGTTCTGCAAGGAGGAGCTCCCGAGGTTCATTATACAATCAATCATACTGAATACAACAAGGGCTATTATCTATCAGATGATATTTATCCTGAATGGGCCACGTTTGTAAAAAGTATCCCGATGCCACAAGGGGATAAGAGAAAATTGTTTGCCCAATATCAAGAAGGGGCAAGAAAGGATATTGAATGAGCATTTGGAGTTCTTCAATCCCAATTTGCGATCATACATAATCCAGCACGATCTTGGCACTTAGACACACTCCAGCTCATAATGAATACATGCATCATATTACCCAACATGATTGTTGAAGATGAACGTGCAACATATGGTGTAAATTTTGATTTTTCTTATGATCATTTGTGTAATGATGCGACAATATTATTGAATGATTCTAATATTGATTTTCAAGAGTTCCTGCGTAGAAGATTTGATATTCGTGATAAACAAGTTCATCGACACCTTCAACAAGACTTGATAGAACATATATGGCAATGTTATGGACATGAGAATAACAATAATTGAAAAATATTTTAAATATATATTTTTATTGTATTTTGTGCTAGTAACTTATTTTAATAATGTATTTTTTAATTAATCATTATATATATATATATATATATATATATATATATATATATATATATATATATATATATATATATATATATATATATATATATATATATATATATATATATATATATATATATATATATATATATATATATATATATATATATATATATATATATATATATATATATATATATATATATATATATATATATATATATATATATATATATATATATATATATATATATATATATATATAATTTTTTATTTTATTTTAAATATATAATTTTTTAATGTATTTTGATATATTTGAATTAAATTGTTTCAATTATTTATTTATATAATTAAAATGTTGGATATATTGTGAGATTTGGTGGAACCCATTTTATAGTTTTTGATGGGTTGTATGGATATTTAGAAAATATTAAAGTGGAATATAATATAAAAAATTGCGTGGACCCCATCTAAAGAACCAAAGTGGGGATAATGAGTGTGGATGCTCTAACATTTTACTGACCCTTCGAATTTGCCGACCAATCCCAAGACAAGCACTTTATCATGCCAATAATTTTCTGCACCTTTAAAATGTTGAGAGTATAATTCAAATTATATGACTTCTCAAGCCCAAGTTAGGATTAGAATTTGTTAAATTAGTTACTTAATATTCAAGTCATCTAATTGTATATAAATATATATTATAATTCAGTTTCAATATCAATCCTAATAATACTATTATTTATATTTACTTTCTCTCTTTCTCATTCCTTCGACATTGTTCAGGCCAAATGCTAAAGAAAGCTAAAAAAATGTTATTTGATGAGCCTCTGCAGTATTAGGTAGTTGGTCAGGTAAAAGGTGACCATGCCAATGATGCTTAGCTGGTCTTTTTGAATGATTATTAAAGTGCATTAGCACTAACAAATTTGTATCTAGAGATCCAGTTAGTTTCTTGATCGTGTTTTCAAGAATCACACGTCAGTGACCGTGTTTTCGGAATCGTGGGTTGTTAATTGCATTTGCTGCAAAATGAATGATAACAACGGCATTTCAAATTCTCTTTAAATTCTTGACGGTAAAAATTGGATCCAATGGAGAAAACAAATGCAATCTCTGTTTGGCTTTCACGAAACCCTAGAAGTTGTTACTAATAGTGTCACCAAGCTTGCTGAGAAAGTAACTGATGCTCAGAGAGCCATGAACAAGGAGGCCAAGAAAAAAAAGACTACAAGGCTGCATTTTATATTCAATCGACCCTGTAGACTAGACGAACTTTGATCGAATTTCTCATGCAGAATCGGAGAAAGAGGCATGAGACATTCTCGTCAACTATTACCAAGGAGGTGAGACGCCTAAAGTCGTCAAATTGCAGACATTGCAAAGACATTATGAAATTACTACACGTGGGAGAAGAAGAAAAGATTGAAGGTTATGTATTGAAGGTGCAAAAACTTGTTTATCTCATGAAAGGTAGTGGTGAAACCCTAACTGATAAGATGATAGTTGAGAAGGTAATGCGTACATTAACCTCTCACTTTAATCGCATTATCATTGCTATTCAAGAATCCAATAATCTTGAAATATTGAAATTGGAAGATTTGGCTAGTTCATTGGAGGCACATGAAATGAGGATTGTCAAAAGGAAAGATGTTCAAGATTCGATACAAGCTCTGCAGTCTCAGACATGGAAGAAATATGATGGTTCCAACAAATTCAAGGGAAAAAGAGATAAGACTCAGAGCAAGAAGTATTGGTCTAACCCTCAAAAGCATAAGGTTAATGATAGAGCTTCTAAATCCTCGAAAAGAGGAAAAGGAAACTCCTATAAACAAGAAAAAGAAGAGAAAAAAAAGGTGTGAAGTGCTATAACTATGAAAAATAGGGTCACTTAGCCAAGAATTGTTGGTATAAGAAAGGCAAGAATGAAGAAGGAAACCTTGCACGCCAAGATTCAGATGATTATGAAGACATGGTGGTTATGGCTGCAGTTTTAAATGAGTATGTCGACACCAAGATCTGGTTTCTAAACATAGTCTGTTCAAATCACATGACTGGTCAAAGAGCATGGTTATTAGATTTCAACGAGTCGAGGAAGAGTAGGGCCAAACTTGCTAATAATAGCTCGTTGCAAGCAAAAGGTACTAGCGACGTAGTTATTCAAAGGAGAAATAGAGAAAAATATTTGATCAAAGATGTACTCTATGTACTTAGAATGTAGTGCAATATGCTAACTGTTGGACAACTGGTCGAAAAAGGTTTCTTAGTGGTTATGATGAATGTGAGAAAAAAACACAAGAGGGGGGGGGGGGGGAGAGTTTAAGCTGTGCATGTGAATTATTTTTCACTTCTAAAAAACCAACTTCATAATCTGAACAAGTTCACTGTTTGATCTCAGAGTTGTTTGCAACATAATGAATAATATTCAGAAGGAGGAAATAAAACAATACATAGAGTTATTCTGGTTCCTTTCCTAAACTGAGAGTATCCTAGCCCCCTTGTATAACAAGAGATTTTCACTACAATCAAACCGATTACACTTTGCTCGAGGAAACTAGAAAGAGACTTCAAATGCTCAATCACACTAGAAAGAGACTTTTGCTCAAGCATACAAGCAAGAATTTTCTCCTCAAGCACATAGGCAAGAGACTTCTTTTGCTCAAGCATACAGGCATGAGACTTCCATTGCTCAAGCAAACTAGCAAGAGACTTCCTATACTCTAAAAAAATAGTTTAGGAGAATAGATAACAACTATACTTGATGCAAAGTCAGAAGTATATAAGTGATACAACATACAAAAAGATTCTTAAACAAATAAGATTTCTAATATATACAAAGATAAAAATCTTAAGAACTTGTGCACTAAACATATAAAAAATTTATCTCAAAGTTGTGCTCAGTGTTGTTCTTGTTAGATGGTTCGTTAGTTAGTTGTCTTTCTTTAAATCTTCAACACCTTTTATAGAGGGGGAAAAGAGACGTTGGAAGGTTACTTGCACAAGTGATCTTTTTTGGGATGTAGCTTTAAGAGAGACGTTGAAAGTTAATCCTTTATCCTTTGTGTAATAACTTTACCCACTGTGTCTTTCTCATACTAGGTATCCACCAAGATGTTGGAGGCATAAATTATAGGTCACATCAACTTTCTTTGAGCCTTGCACTAGAAGCTGAGATACCACAATGTTAGGGAAGAATTAAGAGGTCACGTCAACTTTCCTTGAGCCTTGCACCAGAAACTCTAGTTGATTTTTTTTTAATAATCTCGCGTTGACAAGATCGATCTGCTTTGGAAACAGAGAACGGTTCAAAAGCATATTACCTTTGGCTCAAATATTTCAGAATCTGAGCTATCACAAAAAGCTCAAATACCACAATTTAAGTCATCAAATATGATTCTTCAGAATCTGAGTCCATTATCTTCTCTACGTATGCTTATATCAGGGTCAATCCTTAGTTGACTTTTAAGCTTATGATCCTGCATACTTGAACATATATTCGTATACCTAATTATTCTTTAAGTACTTTGTTATCATTAAAACCCAAGGGATATGAACAACTTTTTTCAAACAATCTCCCCCATTTGTTGATGACAGACAAATGTATTTATGAATAATGGTTCGTTAGTTTAATTAACTTGATAACATCAGTGTCCGAGGTTTGTAAGCTCCCTTGAGTCTAAGTTAAAAGGTTAAGTTTTGTAAGCTCCCCCTAAGTTCTATCCAAGTTATTTTAAACTTATCTTGATAGTAGAAGTAAATAATCTTCAGATATAAACATAAAAAAAAAGTTATGATATAGGTTCAGGTATATTTAAAAGCATTCAAAACACTTTTATCCTCTTTAAATACTCCAATGATTTTCTCCCCTTTTTGTCATCAACAAAAAGAAATTAAAGCAAGTGAGCAGAGAAAGAGAGAGAGAGAGAGAGAGAGAGAGAGAGAGAGAGAGAGAGAGAGAGAGAGAGAGAGAGAGAGAGAGAGAGAGAGAGAAAGATTTTGAAGAACAAAAATGTGCGGGAAAATTAAATTATGATAAAAATGAATAAAACCAGCTTGATGCAATCCTAAGAAAAACCTCGATTTCCAAGAGATAGAGAATTGGCTAGATTATTTGAAAATATTTCTTCGCTTCTTGAGATGGTCAGACACACTCCTTTCAACTTCCAGGAATTGGAAACATCAGAAGTAATAATTACAATAAATAGCTAAAGGACTTATAGCATCATGCATTAAAGATTAAGTGATTAAAATTCAACAAGCAACGTATGATACACTAAAGATCTTCTATAAAAGCATGGTTTCATAGGTTGAAATCCCACATCTTCATCCAACTCTTTTTCTTTAAAAAAAATTGAGCACTCCTTTTGAAGGTACAAGAGTCCACGTGTCTTTAGAGACAAATGTGGTTAAGGAAACCAAGATTGCATTTCCTCCTTCATTTCCAGCTCGTTCGGAGAAAGATAACCTGATTGGGTACAATAAAAGCCAACACCCTGGTTAAAGTGAATCTTAGACCAGTACTTCAGATTCAAAACCCGACAATATTGAGGGGAGTCGTTGGGAATGTAATAGGAAAGAAAATGAGTTGTAGGGGTATGGAGCTTCATCAAGAGGAAACATCCCAAGAAATTATTCCCTTCTAGATTTAAAGAACTAAACCAAGGCACAACCAGGTGAAGCTGAAGAAGCTTGGAGCAATGTGTACCTTGGAACTTATCCGAAAATGTTTGCCTCAGGCGAAAAAGATAAAAAAAAAAATCTGAGAAAAGGTTCTCGAGATTTTTATTTATCACATAGATGAAAACCCCTTATATAATGCCCATGACCCCAAATGAAGCCGTGGAAGGGAAATCTTTAAATGTTTCAAGATGGTTACCTCAAATTCATAAAAGGAAGCTAAATCCATATTCTTGTAAATAAACACTTGTAGATCGAGACATACAATCATAGAA